TCAACAAATCCCAAAAAAGTTGGGACAAGTCCATTTTTCCCACTGTGTGGCATCCCCCCTTCTTCTTCCAACACTCAACAGACGTCTGGGGACAGAGGAGACCAGTTTCTCCAGTTTAGAAATAGGAATGCTCTCCCATTCATGTCTAATACAGGCCTCTAACTGTTCAATCGTCTTGGGCCTTCTTTGTCGCACCTTCCTCTTTATGATGCACCAAATGTTCTCTATAGGTGAAAGATCTGGACTGCAGGCTGGACATTTCAGTACCCGGATCCTTCTCCTACGTAGCCATGATGTTGTGATTGCTGCAGAATGTGGTCTGGCATTATGGTGTTGAAAAATGCAGGGTCTTCCCTGAAAGAGATGACGTCTAGATGGGAGCACATGTTGTTCTAGAACCTGAACATAGTTCTCTGCATTAATGGTGCCTTTCCAGACATGCAGGCTGCCCATGCCACAAGCGCTCATGCATTGTGGGCGGCCGTGGTGCAGTGGTAGTGGCAGCCGACCTCTGATCGGAAGGTTGGAGGTTCGAATCCCGACTTCCCACACCATGTGCCGTTGTGTCCCTGGGCAAGACACTTAACCCCGAGTTGCTCCCGGTGGGACTGGATGGCGCCTTGCATGGCAGCCTACCGCCACCGGTGTATGAATGTGCGTGTGAATGGGTGGATGGCTGGTACTGTAAAGCGCCTTGGGGCCCCTCATAGGGGGCTGGAAGGCGCTATAGAAGTAAGCTCCATTTACCATTTACCATGCAACCCCATACCATCAGTGATGCAGGCTTCTGAACGGAGCGTTGATAACAACTTGGGCTATCCTTGTCCTCTCTGGTCCGGATGACATGGCGTCCCAGTGTTTCATAAAGAACTTCAAATGGTGACTCATCTGACCACAGAACAGTCTTCCATTTTGATGTTATGCACGGTTGATGATGATAACTTAAAAGTCTTTGCTATTTTACGCTGGGTAACACCATTCTGGTATTGCTGCACTGTCTTTCTGCACAACAATGGTGGAATTGGTGATCCTCTTACCATCTTGGCTTCTGAGAGACACTGACACTCTGAGAAGCTCTTTTTATATCCAATCATGTTGTCAATTGACCTAATTAGTGTTAATTGGTCTTCCAGCTGTTCGTTATATGCTCAATTTCCTTTTTCCAGCCACTTATTGCTACTTGTCCCAACTTTTTTGGGATTTGTTGACACTGTGAAATTTTGAATCAACATATTTTTCCTTTAAAATGTTACATTTACTCAGATTAAACTTTTGATCTGCCATCTATGTTATATTACGAATAAAATATTGACATTTGCCATCTCCACATCATTGCATTCAGTTTTTATTCACAATTTGTTTGGTGTCCCAACTTTTTTGGAATCCGGTTTGTAGAACATGAGCTGTAGAACATGAGCTACAGAACATCAAATGTAAAACATGAGGTACAGAAAATGAGGTACAGAACATCAGCTGTAGAACATAAAGAACATAACATCAGATGTAGAACATGAGGTACAGAACATGAGGTACAGAACATGAGGTGTAGAACATGAGGTACAGAACATTAGGTGTAGAACATGAGGTACAGAACATCAGCTGTAGAACATGAAGTGTAGAACAAGAGCTACAGAACATGATGTGTAGAACATGATGTACAGAACATCAAGTGTAGAACATGAGGTACAGAACATCAGTTGTAGAACATGAGGTACATAACATGAGGTGTAGAACATGAGATGTAGAACATGAGGTACAGAACATCAGCTGTAGAACATTAGGTGTAGAACATGAGCTACAGAACATGAGGTGTATTACATGAGCTACAGAACATCAGGTGTAGAACATGAGGTACAGAACATGAGGTGTAGAACATGAGCTATAGAACATCAGGTGTAGAACATGAAGTTCATAACATGAAATGTAGAACATGAGCTACTTAACATCAGCTGTAGAACATGAGGTGTAGAACATGAGCTACATAACAGAAGATGTAGAACATGAGGTACACAACATCAGATCTAGAACATGAGGTTCAGAACATCAAGTGTAGAACATGAGCTACAGAACATGAGGTGTAGAACACGAGGTACAGAACATCAGGTGTATAACATGAGGTTCAGAACATGAGGTGTAGAGCACGAGGTACAGAACATCAAGTGTAGAACATGAGGTGTAGAGCATGAGGTACAGAACATCAAGTGTAGAACATGAGGTGTAGAGCATGAGGTACAGAACATCAAGTGTAGAACATGAAATGTAGAACACGAGGTACAGAGCATCAAGTGTAGAACACGAGGTACAGAACATGAGGTGTAGAATATGAGGTACAGAACATCAGATGTAGAACATGAGGTACAGAACATCAGATCTAGAACATGAGGTACAGAACATCAGGTGTAGAACATGAGGTACAGAACAT